ATGTCCATTCTACAAACGAGTAGCACTTCAAGTAGTGTGAATTCTATATGACGATGATGTTATACCGTACTTGCGCATAGATACTAGCTTAAAGTCCAGACACGTGTTTCGCCGATGCTTTGGCGATGGAGGTGATCGAAGGCTGGCAATCGGATGCCATATGAGGCTGTTAAACACCACCTAGGCAAGAAGAATAGACCAGTGAGAGCAGACCCTGGCGGACCTATCAGGAGTGAATAAGAAAAGGCTTATTTAAACCATGTATTTCCCATTTTTCCCTATCTCCGATGATGTGCTCAAGAACGAGTGTGAAACGTCAGACGATGAATATACCGTCCACCCCAGAGATCGCCTTACGTTCTTCTATATATAGATATATATTTTTAGGACGTTGCTGACAAAGACAGGGACACTAGGATGGCCATTTCTGGCTCATTAGCCGTCGTCAGCTAGTGATAGCCATCTCCAGTGTTGCCGCAGAAATGGCCGCCATACTCGAGTTTCGAACACGTGACCTTGTTAGTTAAAAGTTCAATTGTCTAACCACTTGCCTACGGGCTCGCTGTCTCATCGGCTCTTTATCAGGAATATACATTAGCAGATAAGTGGTGTACGCTAACAAGGAGCGGATGAAGACGCTTACCTAAACGTTTGGAAAGCTGGGGTCGGAGTATCTGCCGAAGTCGTCCTGAAGGAGGCAGTGACGGGACGGGTATTCGCTGACAGATTCTTCATGTCACCTTCCGTAGTTGAGGGATGCACAGGTTTTCGACTGTCGTGATGCGATTTCTCACGCTCTGTGGACGCGCTTTGCCCGCTGCAACTTGCGCTTCGAGAGCACGAAGACGAGGCTGGTGAGACTCCAGTCTTTGAATGGGCCTTTTTCTTCGCATTGGAGCAACTTAGACAGCGGCAAAGCTTGCTGCAGGAAATTTTTGCCTGGAAGACAATGTTCATGTATGTAATTTTAATTTCTTTAAAACACTTACACACAGAGATGTAGCAGCAACACTATACATGAACAAACTCACCAAATAGCATTCGCAGTAATTTTTGAGGCAGTGCGACCTTTTACAGCGGCAGCCGAGTAAGTGTTTGCCCTCATTGCCCGAATTCGTCTCTGCAAAAGAAGAGACGAATTAAATAGATCATCAGAGAAACAAGCTCAATGAAGATAAATTCAGCTTCAGCGAGGTCTGGTTTCACACTAAAAAAGGTTGCGCATCGAATTCTTGTAAAAGCAGCTCTCTGGTGATGGGTTCAAGGGAGTCTGAGGTATCAGAAGTGTATCTGATGATGGTTCCATGCATTCGCGTTAGGTGAATAAAGGTCTTGTCTCAGCGAAGGCATCTACTTCTTCTCAGAATGGTTCTCGTTCAGGCTATCATGAAATAAGGACTGATGTTTTGAAAACTGCCAACTGACAAGTAAATTTTGTTCTCCGATGAATGTAAACGTTCGCGTTCTGGGTATTTGCATTGATAAGAAGACTTGTTGAGCA